AACCCCCCCCCCCCAAAAAAAAACCCCAAAACAATAAGAACAAAACAAAACCAACAAAAATAACAACAAACAAACAAAAACAAGAACAAATATAAAAACCCCTCTTTATACGCATATAGCAGACACACAAATCTATGTCCGACCAGCAGTAGACCTAAGACAACGTTGCAGCCCAGTTTGAGCCTTCATATCTGCCTTTTTGTGTTCTCTGGTCGTTTTGATGCTGCAATCAATGGTTAACAGAAACAATAAAAGTGACAATGATCTTTGTTTCACTCCCTGTATGTTCCTGGAAGCTGTTAGTAAACTGACCTTCGTGGATCACTTTGCAGCATGTACCCTTGCAGTATTCCCGGGTTTGTCTGACTAGGTTATTTTTACCAGTCGCATAATATCTGAGAAATTTCCTTAAAGTATCGTATTGATGCAGTTGAATGCATTGAATACTTTCTCGCAGTCCAGAATGTACTAACTGTTTCTGTATTTCTAACTCGTCAGGTCAATGGTGACATCGATCCTGCAAAACTCAGCCAGGATGTCACCGATACGATGGAGCGCTACGACATTGCAGTAAACCAGATGTTTGAAATTACAACTGTCACTGCCCTCACATTTTTCCCGCCACTTCGCAGGGTTGGCAGGTACAAGAAAATTTGCGATGAGGTCATTGAAAGTAAAGTGGAAGCTGAGAAAGTTATGTTTGAAGACCTCAAGGTATGCCTATTTAGCCTGTGTCGGTGACTGTACTCATTACTTGGGTTACGCTAAATTTAGGCTCTCCGATCGGTACTTATTTAGCTAATTACGCATATCCAAAGTCTCCACTTTCTGTGGGGCCCAATTAAGGTCCCCGTGGCGTCATTTCGGAAAACACTTATTTAAGTAGTAATGGGAGAGGGGGTAGAAATTTACTCTGACCATTATTTGTTCGTTTGCCTTTTTGTCTTATTGTTGTTTGAGATGATGGTTGTTTTGTGCGTTCTGCTTCCGTGGTCAGGTGTCTTTTACGTTACATTAATGTAGTCACAGTTTTTGCGCTTTTCCAACATCATCTTTGTGCATATAATATTGTGGTCGTAGTAGTAGAAGCAGTAGCAATAGTAGTAGTAGTAGTAGTAGTAGTAGTAGTAGTAGTAGTAGTAGTAGTAGTAGACAGCTGTTGAAGTATACGGTTGAGGTAATGGTAGCAGGAATGATAGTAATAGGCTTTTAAAAAAATCTTTCCTATGTCTATTCTGTCTTTGGCCAACTATCGCCGACGCTGTGCTAACTCCCTGTGATCTGGATCATAACACTCTGCAGTCCACGTACCAACCTGGCAAAGTGCGGGGTATGGCCGATGCGTTGCTCCATTTCCAGAGTCAGCCGGGACATGAATGGCTGGACGATGAGAACATCAAAGGCTTCCTCACCACAACCTTTTTCGGGGGTCAGTAAACTCTGAACACATCCTGGCGAAAGACAAAAAAAAAAAGAAAAGAATACGAAACCAACCTGATCAAATCCTTGACAAGCTGTTCAACTTATCTCAGCACAAAAAGCACGTTTTTTTTTCCAGGAGTAAAAAAAAATCTTGTGTCATTCTTTAAAAAATTAAATGAACTTACATAATGCATCTTCTCTTTCTTTTTGTCATATTTAGAATTTGAGTTTCGACAAAACGTTTCTGAAGCACATGCAATCGATACTACATATTCAAAAACTGAAATACAAATTCTGAACTTTAGGCTGAGTATATCGTAATAGCTGGCCGACGAAAAAAACTCTCAGACGAATAAAATATCAAGTTGAAAATAATGGCGTAATATCTTATGAAAGAAACACTTTTTCCTGGCGTAAAGAGTTAGGGTATCTATTAAGATAATAATCCATCCATCTTATGTTTTCATTTTTTACTATGGAAACCTTTTAAAGCCATTTTTGAGACTGAACTTGACTTGGTTTCACCTGCCTCAATACCAAGCACCCGTAGAAGCGATCATGGCCAAACGTAACTCGTGAAGACTCAATCTGGTCTTTAAACTCAAACAAACAAGGAAACTGACCTAATATGATAAAGTATAATCGCCCATCTTTAAATGAAATACTCTGAATTTCGGTAGTCTATCGTTTTGTTGGAACAGTGGGCCTTTCAGCTGGTTTTTGAAGTTGGAGGTCAAGAAATATCGACAAATGCGTCTAACATCGTCAAACTTAAAGTGACGTCCATCTTTTCCCAGCTCACATGACGTCACGAGCCAGTCTAATGAACATGGTGCTGATCCTGATCCACCACCCAGAGGTGGCACGTCGGATACAGGAGGAGATCGAGTCTGTGCTCGGGGATCGAAGACCGCGCGTGGAAGATCGGCTGAGTATGCACTATACGGAAGCCGTGATTCTTGAGAACATCAGGTAGGTGGGATAGTGGAGTTTATGTGTGCTTGCGTTTCTCTCTCTCGCTCTCTCTCTCTCTCTCTCTCTCTCTCTCTCTCTCTCTCTCTCTCTCTCTCTCTCTCTCTCTGTT